TCCTGTTTAACTCCTGATTTTTTTTTTATCTTATCGCAGAATAAAGCTTTTTGAATTATATTACAAGATATAATGTGAGCTAAGCAGGACATAGAATAGGATAGGAAGGGAGCCTACTGCCATCAAGATATGAAACAGTAAATTTACACATGGCTCATAAGCTGACTCACTGATCGGTTTCCAAAACCAAACTCTTACATAAGACACCAGCCACTGTCATTAATGTGAAGTTTGCCATTCGTGAACTTTCTAAAAACCACTAAAGCAGAATGCAAAATAAAGATCACTACTGGTATGAACAGGGTAATGATTTTCTGTATTTCTGTAAGTAGCCCATCATCTCTGCAGGTCTGGCTTCACTTTAGTTTTTGTTCCCAAGAGGAATGTGGTTAATACATGCAAGATGCAACCTTGAATTTGGTGCACATAACCCATAAAAAAAAATTGGACAACACACAATAAGTGGGCTCCTATTAGGCCATCTGGAGAGAAAGTGTTCGGCAGTGATGGCTGTGGAGACAGAAATAACCCCTCATCTCTTCAGCCGATGCTGCCAGCAGGCTGTGATTTCAGCTAGGCTGCCGTTTCAGGTTGCATGGCCAAATGAAGATCCCCTGTTTCCTAAGGGTTGCCATTACATGATCTTAGCTTCCAGTCAATCCAACAAATAGACACGAAGATGCAGGGGGAGGTGCAATTAGAAATGGGTCTTAAACCTTAAGAAGAGAAAGTGCTCACCTGAAAGATTAAAAAAACAAAGAAAAAGTTAAGGAGAACGATAAAAGCCGCCCCCAGAGGAAAAACAATTCAAGCAAAGTTTTTGAACAGTAGAAACAGGGCCTGGGGAGTTTCACAGGCGATGTGGTTTGCTGATTAATTCATCTTTATTGCAGTTTCATTGACTTGCCTAGTATGACACTCTGAGGTTTTAGAATGAAGTTTTTTTTAGATCATTTCATACTTAGCCATGGGGTTTTCACTGTGTCCAAATGAGGAGAACCAGAGGTACTGTAGCAAGTTAAAAAATATTTTAGTTTTGCTCAGGACATTTGTACCCACTGTGCTGACTTGAAGATTATTACAGCTAGAAGGAACTATATAAATATATATATATATTATAAATATAAATATATATAACGTATATAAAGAAGGGTGGATTTTGCTCAGTTTGCACTTGCTAGCTAGTAATCACCAGGAAATAATTTCACTTAACTGGAGAAAAGGTTGAAAAATCAGTACAGTTGTTTATAATTTGGCATCCTGCTGTGTTTAGAGTACTATTATTCTATTTTATAATAGGTAAGCATTAGATTCTTAAGCGTAATATTTATTTTTTTTAAAGTCCACATGTATATTTCTGAATTTAAAAATAATTTATTAAATGCCAGTGTCACAGTTCTACATTTTGGCAAACGAGTGGGTTCATTACATTTAGTGTGTCTAAATGCATATACAATTATCTATTATTCTTACTTTTCATATTTCCTTTGTATATTATTTTTCCATAAGAGCTTGTTGATTATTTTTTAGAGCTCTGGATCTCCTTTTTTTGTGAGTGCCGCAGATAACTGGTTTGTAATTTTCTGCAGTGTTTTTCATTCAGCTGTGTAGTTTTGACAGCAAGTCAGATCCTAAAGAGCCAAGCGCATAATTTAACTGAGCAGATTTCATCATTCTTATTAGAGATTAAGCTTTCCGTTTTCATAAGAATTGATTTGCAAAGCAGGGACCTTATGTCAGGGTGTCCTTGTCAGCGCTTAGCATTCAAGTGGATGATAATTGGAGAGTGTGTAAAAGAGCAAAGAGGTACAGTATATTATGAGCACAATAAAGATGTTTGATTTTAAATTCTGAGTAAGTGGTTGGCTATGATTAGAAAAGCAAAGGCAAAGGGAAGTGTCTGTTCTGAACTGGAATAGCTACTGTAGGACTTCAGGATGGAAGTCAAGCAGGGATGATATTTAACATTACAGGAGAAAGTCTATGGCAATTTATTTGAATTAATATGTTGCTTAATTCACAACATTCTTCTATTTTCAATACCCACTTAGTCTGATTCAGGGTCACCTAACCTGGTAGACATTGGGTGCAAAGCAGGACACACCCTGGATGTGAAGCCAGTCCTGAGAGAAAGGATTTAACCTATTTAGATAGTATTTAACTATTTAACCTAGATAGTATGTCTTTGAATTGCAGGTGGACACCAGAGTATGAACAAAAACACACATGACAGCAGAGTAAACACAGAATGTGTTTGAACCCAAGACCAGGAGTGCCAGTGGTATTCAGGAGTGCCATGAAGCAGTCCTAAACACCACTTTGCTGTGCCGTAAATTGCACTCCTTTCTCTGTTGGTCTGTTTCTGGTTCATCAGCAGTAATAAAAATGGGAGTTTTACTCATGCCAAAATTGTATTTAGCTAGGAAGCTTTAATAAATAATTTATTGCTCATAAGAAAGATTCCATTAAACATAGAATTCAAGTGTGTTATATTTGGGACCCTGCGATGGACTGATGTCTTGTCCAGGATTGAACCTGCCGTGTGCCTGTTGCACGCAGGGACAGACTCTGGCTCCCCACAGCCCTGAATTAGAAAAAGCTATTAGAAAATGGATGGATGTATTTGTGAAATCTGCAAAAGCATTGTTTAGAATTATGTAGAAATTCATTGTAACAAAGTGATGCAGAATTTTATTTTAAACTTTAAGAATTTCAGATCATACAAACACATTTTTTCTGCATGATTAATCAAAATGTTTGACATTGTCCTTTAAATAAAAATGAACGGTTAATGTTAGTTATCTACCGAATTTGGAAAGGAAAAACCCGATACAAAGGCAATTACTGATCAGTTTTGAGACAAAAAATATTAAAGATGATACAAACAAATGTTTTTTGATCTAGTGGCAATTTAAGGCCCTTTGATAAAAATTAATAAGTCCTATGGGATTGCACGGGAGCTAATAAAACAAACTTGATGGAAGCAGTAACCTTCTCAGTCAGATCCTGATAGATTATATTGCTGTCTATGCTTATGCACCAAATCCTGTCTAATGCTATACCTCACAGTTTTATGCCCTGAGAGATTTATGAAATTCAAGCCGAATGCTTTCCTTCATCTCTTCATCTCTGAATCACAGTACTCTTCCAATTGTTTGATGCTATCATCTGCAATGAAGTGTAACAAGACTTCGAAGTCTGAAGGAGGCATGGTGTGATTGTTTTGAAGGTGGTTGCAGATTTGTTTTGGTAACTGCATTCATCACCATGCTGTCCTTTGAAATTCACTGCGCTTTGCATGGGACCAGACAAGAGGAAACGCTCCAAACCTCTCATCTTATTAAGAAGTTCTGGAAATGGCAGATGAATCTGTGTAGACGGACTCTGGCCCTGAGGACTCTGCCTTTCAACTGTCAGAGACTTCTCCTTTTTCTTGTGATATTGCTTGTCAGTTATTAAAGATATTCACACTGTTGATGGTACAAAGCCTTGGAGCAAGGCAGGAGAATGTGCAGCAACATATGGAGCCTTTTTGCAGTGTGAGCTGAGAGATGTGGTTTTTCATGTGTCTGGAGGGCTTGCCAACTTGCCCTTTTGTATTATCATTCTTTTGCCTCCAACTCTATTTAAAGACAGTTATGAGTTGTTCTGTCATTAAAAAAGAAAAAAAATCTTTATGCTTCAATTATTTCTAAACTGCCCGAAGATGTGTGCAAAACAGTCCCCAACTGTTTCTCTAAGAAGCATGTGATGCACTGGATTTGCTCCTGGAAGCTTCAAAGGTTATACTGTATAAAATACCCCGCACTGTAAACTGCAGTTTCTTTAGGTCTACCACATGCATCTTAACCAGACTTAATGAGTCGATTTATTGGTCCTAGTACCTTCTGGACACAAAAGGTCTGGACAAAATCCAACACATTGGATTATAGTTCCAAATTATCTACTACAGTATACAGTATATTCAGCAAAGGCAGGTGTTTAAACCTTCAAATAATCAAGTGCTTTTTTGTATAAAAATAATTTATAGTTGGTTGAAAAAATAGAAACAATAGACTATATTGCTATTCATATTTTTTCAACCACTGGTTACTGTAGTGTCTGGTTAGGCTCTTGCTTTCAGATTACAAAAGTATTATTTGAATGCAGTTAGGAAGTTATTCAAGGTCACTTTAATTTCTATAAACAAAACACCTTCAAGCTGTAATCAGACCTTCATGCCTTGAGTCAAGGACCACTTGAGCTACTGTCTCTGCTTTATTGTATTTTAAAGATTTTTTATGGGACACAAGTTTTGAAGACCAAAAAAATCTACAAACCAGCACAAAATGTGCCCTTGGAGTTGTATAGTTTCATAAATCATGTGTTTTATTATACTGTATTTGCAGTTAAGCAGATCTGAGGAAATACACAGAGAATCCATTGGTAATTAGTCTGCAGATTAATATGTGGAAATGCATTTGGTTTAGTATTCCTCTGGAGTGCAATAGAAATAAAGAATAGAGTATATAATCAAATACTGTGTGAATATTAATGTAAAAAATCCTTGAAGTCCCTAAATCCCCAATGCAATTATTTTCTATTCACATTAATTATTCCTAACAGATGACATTAATGACTTTGAGTTAAAACCCATGTAAGGAAACCCTTCACAAGATCAATGCTATTTAGAAAAGGGTCACTTCTAAACTCACACATTGCGTCTGAAGCAATCTCATCTAAAACAGCTGCAGTGTATTGGAAGGTTATTAATTCAGACTATTTTAAGAATGCTAATGACACAGCTATCCTTACTTGCACTTGTTGAATACTTTTGAAAATGCCAGACTTTTCTCTTAAAGATTTATTAATGTACTTTAAAGTATCCCCTAAGAAAGGCTCTGTTATGTAATCATTCCTGATTTTAAGAGTTTTCTAGTGCTGACATTATATCCTTGATTTTGGATTGCAATTTTTAAAATGAAATATCATTTTTTACTTTTGTGTTATATTTTGTCTAGAAACTACACTCTCGAATCATGGATTTGTCATCTGGAGATCTACTGTTGGAAACAGAGAGAAGTAAAGGTTTCCTGCAGCCCCGAATTCCAGAAATTCCACTTCATGTGAGACACATTTCTTTGTTGTTTATTTTACAGTTAACTCTTTTAGATACCTTAAAAAATACTGTGAAGGTATCGCAGATGAAAAATGGCACTCGTCCCCAGAAAACATTACTAGAGATTAAAATACTTTTCTGCCTCCCGCCTCTGAAATTCAATATCACGTCCCCAGCTGATAGTGCAAGCAGAAAGTGTCACTTTGCACAAAGAGAAATAAATCTAAGTCATATTCCAAGAACACTGTTTTGAGTATTGATTACAGCTCATCGTCTCTGAAAAAATGTCCAAGAAGCTTTTTTTTTTGTAAAAGACAGTGTAGAGTATTACTCATCCTACGTTTATGATATATTATGTATGAACTTTTAAAAAATTCATGCACTCAGCATTATTTCCAAAGTGGGGAGGTTGAGTAAGGGGGTAAGCATTGTGTTGTTAAGGCAAAAAAGGCAGTGTGTCTTTTTTATTAAGAGTTGCTGACAGTCCTTCTTTATGGAAGAAGGGATGAGATGTTACAAATTGTTTCACTCTTTTGAGCATTTTCCCACTGTCCTTTGTCGGTTAATAGTTTCCTTTGTCATGTTTAAAATACACATGCAAGCTGAAACCTACTTGTTTGGTACTGATTTCATAATTCTTTTTATTGGTGTGATATTAAACTGCGTTTTAAAAATATGGGCATGTAATTAACGCAGTGCATTCCTGTATATGGAAGTTTTTATGTTAATGAGAGGCCATGTACTGTAGCATAAATGTTATATAAAGATTTATGCTGTGCTGTCACCTTTAAAAAATATCCTGTATATTGGGAAATTAAACAATATATAAATAGTGTATGCATTTATGAACATTTATGTAATATGAATACTTAAGCGAATATACATATCTAGTTGTTGTTGTAAAAGTAAAGAGTAGATATTAAAATGGATTGAGCATTTTACTTTTAGGCAAATAGCATTAAACTAATTCAGTTAAGAAAAGAGCACTAAACAGTTATAGCTGTCCCTTAACCCTTTAGTCACAGAAGACCATACAGCTGTTTGGTCTTTAGTTTCTGAAACACCTAATTTACAGAAACCACATAGGCTGCCCTAAGGTTAAGGCTTAAAAGGTATAATAACCAAGAATGTTAGGCCATTTAAAAAATCACACAGCCATGCAATTTCTTTTAATCCAACTCAATAAATAATACTGTGATACAAAACTCTAGCTGTAAAATGCTATCTGTTCTTCATTACACTCTTGCTCGGAGCCAGCCTTTAGTCACAGTCAACCAAAATCGCTTTTGGAGAATGGTGATAACTACTAGTGCTCCAAAGGCAAACATGGGCTGTCAATAAACTGCATGGGCAGAGAGGATCAGCTGTCCAATGCTGACACAAAGATGGATTGCTGTAGATCGGAGAGTTTCTTCTATAAAGAACTGAAGTAGATAGGAAACTGAAATTAGACTGCGATGGGGGAAGTTTTATTCTCGGTAGATTTTCCCTCTAGCTTTTTCTAAATTAATTTAACTTGTCCAATCTACAGTATAGTGCCTCATCTGTTATAATGTTTTTATCATAATGCAGTTGTCAGAATATACTTGCTCTTCTTTTACTGTCTTTAACCTTGCTGCCAACAGAATGTGCATTTCTGTACTTTTGCAAATGCATGTAAATCAAAACTGAATGCCCAGGAAACCTATAACGTCGCCTGGTTTTATTGAAGATATGATATATAGTCACATTTTACAGTACTTAAGCCTTTAGAAACTGCAGGTGTTGTCTAGGTCTAATCATCTCCAGATTAGCAGTTTTTGCAAAGACAAACCCACAGCAGACAGCAGACGTTTTGCAAAGCCTATCTTGATTCCTGGACCATTGAAATATTTTGACTGCTCTGACTTTTGGCAGAGTGGTTTTTGTTTATTTCTCCTAAAATTATATATTTTTTTTAATTTTAGGAGCAGGTTGAATCAATATTTCTTTTCACAGCAAAACAAAAACAAAATATAATAAGATGTTGAGTTATTCTGGAAACCCTTCAATATTTTCCATTAACTCAACAATTGTATTTGGGCTGATAATGTATTCTCATATATTTATATACATTTTAGTTTAAATTAGTTTTGCAAAATTCTGCACTTTTTTCCTGTATTGACAGTATTGACATGCAATATTCTTAGATGCTTTAAGCCATCAAAATTAACCAGTGTTCCAGAGTGGCTGCAAGATCCTGTTTAAATGTCTCATATATATTATAATTTGAGGTTGTGCTGCATCATTTGCTTTCTGCTCAGACGGTAATTCTTATTGTTTCATTCTTCTGGTTAATCTCCTAATTGTGACACTGTTATTCATCTCCTTCACCATCACTTCATTTTCAAGAAAAAAACATTGACACAGCACTGCATGTATTGGCAGATAGATAGGTTAGGTGTTGCATTAATCATTCACTCTTCATCATCCACTTAATGTTGTAAATTAAGTTTTTGCTCGAGTTTTGACTTTAATAAAAGTGAAGCGATTTAGCTCTAAAATATTTGGATACCTACGCAGAAATATAATGAATATTGATGGGGGAAAGAAGGAACAGGCCTGTCAAAGTTTTGATTTCTGATGTCTTTCTGTTATTTATTGTCTGCGGTTCCTTAGAATCATTTAGAGTCCAGACAGCATGGTCCCAGTCTTTGTCAACAGAAACTGCTCTCCAGATAAGTCTCAACAGATGACCCTATGCCAATGTGTGTCACTGCCCACCAGCAGGATAACAGCAGGCACCTGGCTAATTGGTTTCAGCTTAGATAACTATAATCCGAGGCTGCTGCCTTCTCCATATCTGATGAGAGCTCCAATACTGGCACCAAAACTCAGTGCGTCCATGAGTAAAACTGAGCCTATAATCTTCCTTAGGGTACTAAGATGTGATTCCACACACGTCCTTCTGTGCAGGATTAACACGCAAACACTCTCACTCATTGAGCTTACAATACCAGACACAGATGCCACATGCTTTCTCTGACTGATTACGGCCAATGCATATTGATTCCCTCAGTGTAGTGAAGTGTCCACTTTGGCCTTCGTCCATGCTAGTCCAATGCTTTATTATGGTAGCTACTGAGCAGCACCCTAGTAGTGCTCAATCAGTCTGGGCTGACTACACTCTTGCACAAGTCCATATTTAATAATGTGTGTCATTTAATCAATGGCTTTATTTTCACCTGGATTAAATATTGAATGATTGAGCTTTTTGCTCTTCAGCTTGCCTGCCCGACATGAAAAGGTGTCTTATAATTTTATAATACAATGATATAATTTGATCCTATATTATCTTAAATGCCAATATGAACTGTCCAATTCTACTGCACAAAGTGTAGAATTAAAAAACGTTTTATTTTTCATCTGATTCCAAGGTAGATCTAATAGATGTAAATCCCCTTTACAGCACACACAGCTATAGGGATCACCAGTCAGACAAATCAGTGAATGGAAAGCTGTAACATCTTTTTTACATTATTTCCCTTCGAAAGGGGATTTGGATGTGAAAAAATTAATTTGCCAAGGATAGTAGAGAGAAAAAAAGAAATCTAACTTTATACCTTCTGTATAAAATATTGTATATATGGAGCAAAATAGAGAACATTGCCTGACATTAAAGACATTTCCCTAGGAGAATGCTGTGAGATCATGCTGAATTTTTAATTCGATTTAAAGTATCAAATTTAGAGAGTTCATTGTTTTTCAAGGACAGTTTTCTTAGTTTGTTGTCAAAACATGATATGTTTGATTTGTTGAAAGCCTGAGCACTGTGGGGAACATGCTAAAAGGAATAGTTTGGAATCTAAGTGTTACATGTAGTTCTCCTTGGGCTGTGAACCACAATGACCTGTCAAGTGTTGTAGGAGCAGTCACTATTGTGCCTAATTTAACATGGACTATCTGTGTATTCAGTAGTACTCCAATGTACTGGGGGGACGACCACTTCATTTTCTGTGTTATTTTGTTTGTTTTTCAGCAATTGTTTTACAAATTAATTTAATTTATTCCAAACGGCAAAGGGATGTGTGCTCTCTTTTTGGTATAAAAGGATAATTACATCTCTATATGTTTTTGCAGGAATCCCAGCAGAATGTAAAACCTGGAATTTCCATCATGAAATGCCAGAGTCAATTAAGTTTGACAGTACCTACTCAACTCTACCCTCGCAGCAGCTGTAGCAGCAGTGAACTATCCCTGTCAAGTGCCTGCAGCGAATACTCCAGTGGTTCCTGCACGTGGAATGATGGAAAATCTTGCAGCAAAATGGTAAAGGCATTCATTTTGCAGATCATTTTATAATTATCCATTTAATTTTTAGGGTACTTAGTCAAAAACTTGCCTTGGTATAATGGATTATGGCCAAAATGAACAGATTTCAATGAAGATGAGAGAGGTTATGTAGTAGATCTTGGTGACAAATGTAGATGTGTTATGTTTAATTAAAGTGCTCCATTGTGTTATCTCTTGTAATTTAGTAAAGTGTATGTCTGAAGCCATATGGTTTGCCATGTGTGATATACAGCCATGGTGAACTGGCAATAAAACTACATAAATACTGCTGCAGAATATATATATATAAATTAACAGATACTAAGCACTAGACATTATTTTATTTATACTGGATGTTTTCAAAAGTTTTGTTTACTAGCTCAAAGAGCAGTTGAGGTGCCATACAGCTGAAGCCAGTACATTCTTCCTGTATCTGAAAACAAAAGTAAATCTGAAATGTATCAGATTTGCAGTTTAGCACTGCCATAAGCTGTGAACAGCAATATATATCTTTGACCCACGGAACACAATATGAGGAGATGTCAACTCTGAAAAGGATCCCTCAGCGTTCAAACAGGTTGCAGCAAGCAGAGAGAGATGGAACACTGAGTTCTTTTTAGCGTGTCTGTGTGTGCAAATGATGTCTGAGACATCTCAGCTGAAGTAAATAATATTAGAGTGGAAATCATTAAAGCAACAGGACCATCATTTTCTTCTTAATTCTCTTTCTCTCTGGGCTTCTTATTTAAATATATCATTAGAATTATTGATTTTTTAATGTAAATCCCTATCCTAGCCCAAGGAGGCATGTAAAAAAATAACTGTAGTTAATTTTACATTGAATTGTTTGAACATCCCCTATCTTAGCCTAAGTCCAAATGTAAAAATTAATGTTGTTATCTTAATATACAGTATGCTACACACATTAAAACAGTATCTAAATATTCAGTTACTTTATGTGCACAAGTTATGTTCATTCAAACCGCAAAAAACATCTACAGTAACATGGGTACTGAGTTGTGGTTCAAACAATCTCAGCTCTGTTCTTTGAAAATTTAAAATTCATGTTCTTTCACAAAATCTCTCTCTATAGAATACACTTATATAACATCAAATCTTCTCAGCCTTCAAAGTTTAAATGTGTGGAATCATTGCAGTGTGTCTCTGCTAGCTGCCTTTAAAAGGTACAGTCAGTATAAGTAATTGTAATTTCAAGTTGATTGATGGCTTCTCAGAATCATTATTTGAAGCTATTGCCGGTTATAGTGATATTAAAAGTTAACGGTGTAGGGGAAATGGATGGAACGAATACTATTCCAGTTAATAGGAACTTGTAATAGAGCAGTTAAACACTTAAGGCAGAGACATCATTCCCAATCTCAAGATAAGTGTACGTCTGGTATTAAATGTGTGTGTTTCTGATTTAGTAAGCAACCTGTTTATGCTGCTGGTCCTCTCTCCCATATGTTTTGTCTGAATAACATAACGTGGTGAAAAAATAATTCCAGGTTCAACAGCTGTTGTAAATATGTACAGTATGTATATATTGTGTACAGTAGATACTTTTGATTTAAAGTACAGGAGATATGTTATTTTGCAATTTCACTATTACTTATCAAAAGCATATCATGGTAAAGCTATACCATTTCTGATGTATAGATGATTGTTTTAATACATAGAAAAACAAACTATACAGCAGAATATCTGCTTTGAGATGCTCACCAGGGTAGATTGTTGTTGAATACACGTTCCGTTAAATATTTTGGTTCACAGATTGCTTGATCTTCATTCTTAGACTATTAACTTTCTCAAAGCATAATGACTTGGTTAATTCTAGTCTCCAAATTGTCAGAGTGTGTGTGCTGGGGTCCCATGCAGGGTGTGGTCCCACCTGACTCCCTAAACTTCCAGGGTAGGATCTGGGTTATCAAGAACATTACTAGGAATAAGTAGCTCACTGATAATGATGAATAATTCTATCCACCCATCTGTAATTGAAAAATAGAAATACAGATGCAATGCATCTTATTCTTCATAGTACGGGTTGTTTAACTGGGATTTGGGTGTGTTTTGCATCATAGTCATCACTGACGTGGGAGAAGAGAGTAAGCATTGGCTCTTCAGCCCCGAGCAACATTTCCTGTCCCGCCGAAGAACAGCCCCCTACCAGGAAGAAAGAGAGTCACATCCTTGAAGGTTTGAAGAGGCTTCAAAAAAGGAAGCCAATGGAACCATCTTCCCTCAAATCCAAATGGGGGTACAAAGACTGCATGAACTCTAATGAAGGGATCTATTCCCCTGGGATAAAGTGTGGAGGCCAGGGTGCCCTCAAGTCCCAGATGCCATGCAAAACTACAGGACTATGCACAAAACGTGAACATGGCAAAAAGTTCACATATGAGTCTGACTCTCACGATGATGCGGATGATGAATCCACGAATGCTCCCTCTTTATGCCAAGAGATTCCTATAAAAGACTGTAGGACATACTCCAAGAAGCTAACCCACAGCGTATCTGATAGTCTATTCAGCTGGGAGTATAGTGGGAAGTCAGTGACAGGGAAGCCTTCATACTTCAACTCAAAGGAAAGACCAGAGAAACTAACAAGCTTTATCAATGGCTTTCTTCCTGGGGAGAAGAACTGTGCAATTCTCAGCCCCCCTGTCCTTCAGTGTGAACCTAGCCCAACAGAGAGGGACTGTGCTCTCCAGCTTTCAGACTTTGATGACTTGGAAGTCTTGGAGGACTTGCATGTGGAAAGTGGAGACGAGAAGACCACTGCAGTACACCAGCTGGCAGAGAAACAAGCTGAAGACACTAAGAGGCTATCAAAAGAGATGGACAAAGAGTTCACTCTTCAGTGTCAAAAATATCAGAGCAAATCTCAGCAACCAGACAGCAGGCCAAAGACTTTTAATTTGATAAAGCAGCATAAGGTAGTGAAAAATGCATTGTCTGAAGAATGTATTACTGTAGTATTTGATGCGGAAGACGGGGAGCCTATTGAGCTCAGTTCACAGCAGACTGGAGTCATTTCTGTGACTAGAAATGAGATTTCAGTAGGCCAGCAGCAGACCGTATCCACTGCTGAATATACTAAACTGATACCTCAGGGAAAGTCTAATTGTCAGAAAGGAAGCAATGCAAGAAACTACACACTCTTAGAATCCCCTGAAAACCAAGCTGAGCATCAGCCTGACAATATGGCAGAAAGGAGTGTTATTCTCTCGAGTGCATGTGCCGACACAAGTTCTGAAAGAGTGTTGTCACACATTCCTCAACAACAAAAATTAATAAAACCCATCTATAGCAGTGTTCACAAAGTCAATTCATCTATGCAGAATGCTTCCACTCAAAAGGCAAACCTGACCAAAATACCAAGCAGAGGTAAAGGATCCCCACAGAAGGTGTCTAAAGTGTCTGCTGCTGAAGCCAGCAATAACAGTGGGACCTCCACTTCTTCTTTTCAAGAGAAGTCACCATCTTCTCCTCCAGTAAAGTTGTCAAGGTATATAAAACCTCATGGAGGCAGTTGTATTCAGAGCCCAAAAGCAGAACTTGGAGTTTCAAAGTACAGTTGCCCACCTCAGCAAAGCTCCAAGATTCCCAACAGGAATGAGTGGGGAAAGAGCTCTTCCACTGGAAATTCAGGATCCCCCCTTTTACCTAGACGACACATAGAGCCTGTTGACTACGGGGAACAGCCAACCAGAGACAGGCTCTGTGACGCTAGACAAACTGAACTCAGGTCTCCCTCCCCTCCTCCCCCTCCAGGACGATCTGCTTCCTTACTTATAAGACCAAACTATGAAAACACACCTGTCGCACTTAAACCTGGGGCTCATCTCACTGGAGCAAATGCTTTAAGAGGAACTCCCCATTTATCTCAAATACACCATCAACACCAACCACCTCTACCTGATATGCAACATTTAAACTCTCCTAAGGGGCAATATATAATGGAACCAGATGCAAGTCATTGTACAGAAATAACACCTCAAAAGCTAGTGGAAAATGCCAATCAACACCTGCAAAAGTCTCCAGGGATAAATCAGACCCCAACGAAAGGATCACCTAAAAGGGCTACAGCTAAACTGTACCACCCTTCTTCTGGATTTGGTTACGTCCCAGATTTCCAAGAATCTGCATCCAAAAGTTCTAAGAAAGTGCCCTGTTTCTATAACTCTCAGAAAGGCTTCTCACTGCAAAGCACATTCTCCAGTAAGAAAGGGCAAACTCCTGAGAATGGGTTTCCTCTACCATATAAAACCTCTAGCAGCTTGCCAATTTCACTGCAGGGTCACTCACCAAATACTCCTGAGTCACAGAGCACTCAGAGTTCTCAGGTGTCCCCAACCTCCTCTAGTGTTGGAATTATTCCTCAGAGCTCTGAAGAGAAACTTTCAAAGACACGTATTCCCATTGGCCTCAAGGCCCTTGTGAAATCACCTCCTTTGCTGAGAAAAAGTTATACGGTGCCAGGAAAACAGGAGAAAGATAGTATCAATTCAGCTTCCAAAGGGACCATGACAGCAAGCCATTTTAGTGAATGTGATACATCAGAGGGAATTGCGGATTTTGAAATGGAGACGGCAAAGTCGGACCAGGAGATCAAAAGTGAAACTCACAGCAACCCATTAAGCGTGGAAACACTGGAAACATCTGTAGTGTCTGAAAATGGAAGCCCTGTTTGTGCTAAAGGGGATGGAGAAAGCAGACTCTTTAAGAGGTCAGTTTCAGTTACAAATAAAGCTCATTTAAAGCCTGCCCTGGGGATGAATGGGGCCAAAGCTCGTAGCCAGAGCTTTAGTACACATTCCGGGGAGAAACCTAGCGCCAGTATATTGGAAGGACCTGGAAAGATACGGACTCAAATAATAACAAATACAGCCGAAAGAGGCAACTCCTTGACAAGGCAAAATTCGTTAATTGATGGGTTTCAGCTTAAGCCTGCCACCGGCCAGAGTGAAAGTCCATCCCATTCTCCAAGAGGTGTTGACGTCTCCTACAACAGGCAGGGGTCTCATGGAAGCATGAGCAGTCCAAGTAAAATAGCTTTGAGAACCACCCCCAAGGGCGATGGCTCTAAAAACACTTCAGTGGGTGATGGAAGCAAGTCTCCACCACAGAAAGAAGCACGCAGTCTACCTCTCGCTGATAGGTTTGGACTTAAAAATTCTAGACGACCTGTTAAAGTTGCATCACATCCTCTGTTTGATACTGTATCGTCTCCTGTCTTCAGCACTGAGCAGACACCAGAAGCTAATGGAAGCAGGTTGTTTAGCCCTAACCGGAGTGAGCTGGTTAGGCCTCTGAAAAAACAGGACCCAACTAAAGGGCCAGAAATAACTGAAAACCCCGTGAGTCCTTCAGTATCCACAATAGAAGAGAAGGTTATGATGGGCATCCAGGAGAACATGCAAAAAGGCCAAGTTCAGGACAAGCCACAAGCCTCGGAAACAAAGCAGAAGACAGGCTCAACCTTGGCGAGCTGGTTTGGCTTCCGGAAAAGCAAGCTTCCTGCTCTGAGTGGCAAGAAAACAGATGCGTCTAAAGCAAAAGACGACAAGAAAGATATCAAGATTGGATCAGTATTAGGAGGCAAGCAGATGAAGTCTGACAAAAAGAAAGATAAGAAGAAACATGAGCCGCAATGTAAATATAGTCAAGAGCAAACAAAGAAGGCAGAGAATAGTGATAAACTGGGTTCAATAATGGATCATTGTAACAGTCAGCAAGGACAACCCATGAAGCAGATACAGCGTTCTGCAACCTGCGTAGGAAAGGATCAGTTCATGAAGGAGCTACTGAACAGGTAAAAATAAAACCTGGTAATAAATTCACAGTATTATACAGTTTCAATCATGGGAAGCAATGCAGAAATTAATTAAGATCATTACATATATTCCTTTTTTAACTTATTATTGTTGAAAAGATTAAAATCATATCCACATTTTTATTTTTGTATGCCTGCCTTATATGTTTCAAACTCCCCTTTAAACATCAAAATTAGTATAATTCCTACAGTATATTTTCAATTCAAATTTTATTTCTTGGTGTTAGTTAAATGTAGAATTATTTTTTGGAAGTTACTTTTCCATTTTTAATGGTTTAAGTATGGCAAAAAATAGTAATTGTAGTCAAAAGGTGTATGGAAGATTGAGTGCATACATACTAAGATATACAGTATTATTGTTGTGAAAGGCGCTATATAAAAATAAATCGAATTGAATTGTATTGGTTTTATGACCAATATCACAGGAAATGTGATCTTTCCATTACTGTAGAATCTTGCTAGTCATCACTGTTAAGACCTGTCTATGTGCCTTTGAATTTGTATGTAACTACAATGTGATTCTCAAAGGCCATCTGTTTGATGCATTTTTTGAGAGCTTTAACAAAAAACCCAGTTGCCTATTTAAGACTTCTCTTAGATTAAGTGACCATTTTTTTTAGTTGCCTCAACCAGAGGCCATTGAGGCAGTCATCAGACATGATCCATGTTTCGCCCCTTTATCCCACAGCAGTCTTGGGCAGAAAAATATATCATTATATGTACTTGAATAAATTGATATACTACCTTAAATTGTAACCGACAGATTTTATCAAGACTACTTAGAAACATTTATCACTCAAAGAGACCATAGACAGAAAGATACAAAGAGGTTATTTTAAACATTAAAGCAGAGGGAGAAGCCAGCAGATTGAAGAAGGACAGTCTAATTTATCAGCGGAATCACTTTCTACCTGCAGAGTTGATAAGAAAGCTGCCCAGCTGACAGAAAATGGATCAAATCATGTTTCCTACAGGACTGTGTCGAAGGGCAGCTCCCAGGGCCCAGCTCTGCCCAGCATCTCTATCAACTCCCAGGGAAACCAGAAGAAAAACAATGAAATTAAGGGAGATATGGAGATTCAGAGCGGAGCTGTGGTAAGCCATTTGATTTGCTCTGTGAAACTTTTGTGCTTTGTTGTAGCATTTCATTTCCCTGACAGACCTTGTGCTGTTGTCTAAAGAAACTGATGAAAGAGGTGCTGGGTGGACACGTTGACCATGATCTGAATTACATCTTTCCTTCTGTGGGGTCTTGTCATGATACAGTTTTTTACAGTTTTGTTTCTCTAGACAAGTTGCTTGTGTCTGCTTTTATCTCCACTGTGCATTTCCAATTACACATGTAGTTCTGTTTGATACCTGAAATGCCTCTGGGATCTTGTTACCTTTTCAAGTTTGGTGTTAAGGTAAACACACAAGAGTTTCTTTGTACCATCTCTCCTTCAAGCTAGCTAATTAAGAAGTCCTTGCTCACAAGCGTATATTTTGAAATGTCACATGAAGGCTTTCATTGGATTTTTGAGCCCAAAAGCGACCACTATTTTGGATGAATTTTGTACAAAAAAGGACACATACAGGAAGTGCTGTTCATTACACGGGGAACTCTGGGCAATTGGAATTGTTTTTGGTACAGTAACACATTAGGAAATGTCAAGCTGGTGTTCTTTGTCTCCTCTAATGACGGTAGAGCATTAGGACAGTTAAAAAAAGATCAGAATCATCTATGAAGCCAACAAGGTGAATATCTGACCTTGTCTGTCATTTAGAATTTTCTTCAGGATGTACAGAGGCCAATTTTATTATGCATGAAATAATGTAAATAAACAATACACACTACTTGAAAACAGTGTTGAAAAGTGGTTCTGTGTATTTTCCTATTTGCCATTTATCTTCCAATATAAAATGTTGACAAAATGCAGAATGACCACAGGCTATGGAGCAGCACAGAGCCAGTGTTGTTGCCATGCTTGTTCCATTTTAAGCTTTTACAAAGCTGTTTTGAGTCTCTTTAATTGCTGAATATGTTGTTGATTTATTTAGGTGACATGAATCTTCAGGAAAACTGTATTGTGTATTGAATTCAAACAGATGCAGCACCCTTCTCTGTGAAAAGTTATAAATTGCTGTTTAATTTCCAGAATGGGCAGAAAAGCAAGGATCTAACGAAAGAAAAATAACAAATCTAAATGAAAAGTAATGAAAACATAAATCAAAGTAAAATTGTATAGCTGAACAGACAGAAAAATCAGGGAACATTCGGTTATTATTCTTGTCACTATGAAACATTGTATCGTATGTCTTATTTCATGTAACTGTTTTGAGAAAGAGAAAGCAATAATGTATATGTATTAATTTCAGAGGAGTGTTTTAGGGTTAGGGTTATCAGGGTTTTTTGTCTGAAACATTCTAAAAGTGAAAAGTATTTTTTAAACTTTCAAAATTTGCATGAAACTCCAAAATTTCAATGACATTTTAATTTAACTTGTAACCCACATTTTGTCCTTCTCTATTATTTTATTATGTAATCATCTCAAGTGGTGCTTCCAGATATCAGAATTCAATATAAATAGACACAACGTTTTTTTTCACCCAAAACATATATTTTTTTTGTTCCATAGCTAAACATGCCACTTGCATACAGCACTTCAGATTTCACAAGGTCATATCAAAGTCCTTCAAAAACATTGTGAGCCTCTAGGTGCATGTACTTGTAGGAGCAACAGTTTTTTCCCCCTGTGGAAAATTTAAATATTTTGTGCCATTTGGAAAAAAAAGGCTGCAGCAGGACCCGTAATCTGACTGACCTTGCAGTGTCTCTAAGAACGGAGAGAGAGGTAGAGTGAGACAGAGAAAAAGAGAGTGAGAGAGAGAGACCGTGAAAGTCTGGAACTGTGCAATATGCAGGAAATTCAATCCAGCTGATCTAGAATTTTGATAGCAAAGCGGAGCCCCTTATCAAAGACACTCAATTTAACAATGCCCCATTTAATACTGTCCTGACAGCTCTGCCTGTATCTCCACTCAACAGAAATACAACAAAAAGAAGGTACATTTAGCGTTTGCTGGTTCTTTTTTACCTGCTGGTATAGCAAATTGCAGGATTTCAGCGGTGGTGATAAAAAAAAATTAGATCTATTACAATGCTACCTCCCTTTACATTTAAAATAAGCCCTTTAACTGCATAGCTATTTTAATGATCTATACCTTTATAGAAATATCTGACCATAGTTCTCTTTTATAAGAGACTGTAGGACATTAATTGGAATTCAGCAGTTTCCAGTTGAAGAATTATATTGAACATAAGGGATTTACTGAGTTCTATAAGATATCCTTTAAATTATTTATGGTCAGTGTGTGTGAGTAATGTATATATTTTGTTGTAGGCCTAAAACGACAATTAAAAGTAGAATTATGAGCTAGTAAATGTGTACCACAGACATAAAGAACTGTAAGTCTTACTTTACAATCACATTCATTGCAGTGCATATTAATTGAGCTTCTCCCAGGGGAGTCAATCAAAATTTCACCAAAATCAATCTTCTATCATTTAATATTGCTGACATACTGTATATGTAATAAACATTCTCATTCTGAGAGAAATAGTCTCTAACACAGGAGAACTGCAATAGATCGGCATGAATATTTTTCATTTGTGCTACATTCACATACAGTAGTTATACTCATAGATGATACAAATACAACAGACATTCACAGGATGTCTAAAATCATTGAAAATTATATGCATTTAGTGCTGCTGACTGCTCTTGAGCTTGCACTTTGTAATTATTCTGTCAGTTCCCAAGGTGCTCATTAGTTTACATAAGAATACGTTTTTAAAGGTAACTCATGATCAAACAAAATTTAGATGGCACAATGTACTGTAGCTTTTTGCCTTTTACATAATAAATACGCTGGATTCCAGCAGTGATTCACTTCTTCCTGTTTTTAATTGCACATACAGCTCTGTCACTATCAAAACGCTGTTCAAGCAAAGGAAAGAACACCTCGGTTTCTGTAAAGAAAGAAGGATATGCAAATTGTTTCTGAGAGACACACTACTGAGCAGACTCAAAATCGAAATCAGGGACTGATCTGTAGCTGTAGGCAAACGTTAAAGAAATCCAATACAAGTAAATATCATTTCACATTTATTCAATGTCTAAATGACCTCTGTTGTTCTACAGCTTAAATGTCAATTGAATTAAACCCTGTCTGTTCCTTAGTCATGATTCAGAGCAGGGATTATTTTTGCTTTGTTAAAAATAGTGTTTGTTTTAGTTTTTGTCACCTGAATTAAGAACACAAGAACATCTTAAGGTAACAAACAAGAGGGCTGCATTATTAGGAGTGTCGTGCTCACTGTGTGTTGACGATGAGTGCTACAGTAGTTCCTCCTTGAAGTACTGTAATTGTGGTGCTGGAGGTTGAAACAATTGAAGCTTTGGATAGTTATATATATTATTTACAACTTTTATTGCCCATCCAAACAGGAGGAAATTTGTCTACAGCATCACCATACAAAACTACTAAAAAACACAAATAACACTCAACATAAAATAAATACACATTGAAAACCAACAATAGTCCTACTGTAGCTATTCAACATACAGTATACATCTCACTTTACCCATATACAGTATTACACTTTCATTACATTAATCCGATAGTTGCACACAGGAAACAATCACTTAGCTGTATTTAATATGCAAGAAAAGATAGAAAAGAAAATAGATTTCTTATACACATTTTTCTTGGAGAAAACATTTCTTGTGTACATTTTTCTTGGCCATAGGCATTCTAAACCTCCCCTCTGAAGGTTGAAAATGAGAACGAAGAGGGTGGGAGAGGTCACCAGCGCTAGGCTGAGCTTTCCTTTGTACTGCAATATAATACAGCTCTTTAAGCTGTTTGTGTGGTCAGCCAATTATTTTACTAGTAATATTAACAATATCTATGGAAAACGTTTCTCGGGGGGAAAGTGGTTTCTTTCTTATATGTGCAGATGCTCCATGTAAAATGGGGCATGTGTGTTTACAAAAGGGCACACTACCTAAAAGAAGGGGAATGCTTGTTTCAAGGATAGGTATCGGCCTCAACACTATGGGTGACCGATCAACATCTCATTGTTGTCTATGCTGGAAATTACTTTGATCTGAATTCCATGCAGAGCATACAGTATCTGGTGTCAGGGTTATAAACCACCAGTTGAGCGATTACATAAATATTGTAATACTGTTCAGATATATAAATAAAGCTTAATGTTCATGATATTTTTTAATTCTATAACCAGATCAAGCCTGTGCCGCAAAAGATCCACATTATAACTGATAATGATGAAGAACCGACTATGGAGCCTACTTGTCAAGACCACATGATAGGTATGTACCTTGGTTTTTGTAAAAACCCCAGTTGTTCAGGTGGATTCCACCTTGGTTGGTGTCCATGAAAATTATATCCTGCTGTCATCGTAGTTTGCAAAACAGTGCCGTTATTGTGCATTTAAATGTGCTATCATAGAGCACTATTCTTATCAAAAGGGTGGAAACTTTGAAAGGGTGAAAAATCCTAAATAAGCTTGAGAAACATACTGTATCTAAGCTGTACTAGGCATCACCTCTTTAAGAGGCAGGGTCATTCTCCATTGCTCTGATTTTGATTGTGGCAGTCATGTTGAGAAAAAGTAGTATTGGGCAAGAGCTGGCAGCACTCAGCAAGCGGTAGGACATTCACTATGTAAGAGAGACCATGTAGCCAGAAGCCATATCACTCTGCAACTCACAGCTGGCCCACTGAAGCTAAGCAGGTGTGAGTCTGGTCAGTACCTGGATGGGAGACCTCCTGGGAAAAACTAAGGTTGCTGCTGGAAGAGGTGTTAGTGGGGCCAGCA